TGGGAAAAAGAAGGTCAAAGGGTATTGGTTGATAAAACATTCATTCCCAAATAACTACTGCATCAGTCATGGTATGACACAGCAGCTGCACTGTGAATATTTATCACAGGTCAAACTCGCCTATGGAATTTAGAAATGATAGAACTAGCCACCAGGGAGTTGGCAAAGTAGATATGTAAAGAAATGTAAAAATAATAAGAAATAAACTAAATATACACCCCCTTAGTTATTTTATAGGTAACTAGTTACACTGAAAATAAAGGAGAGTGTTAGGCTAAATCTTGACACTGTCTCCAGCTCAGATGTCAACTTTTTCAGTTAAGGCTACTCATATCAGGGATGTTTCCAATGGGAAAAATTATGCTGGGACCATACAAAGGACCCTGTCACCTCTAGTCATTAATAATGCAGTCCAAATGGAGGTAGAAAAAACCAAGAAAGTACTGAAACCATGAGTTCTGGTGTGAAAGGGGTGTCACTTTTGTCAGTCAGTATCATCAACTTCCCACACAATCTTTACTAAAATGGATGGTGAGAGTGACCCAGTTAGGGGCCGTATCCTTCCTTGCTTTTGAATGCTGGAGAATGAGTGAGCATGTTGGGTTGAGGTAGGAAGCCACAGCTCACTATTGAACAATCAAAAGTTCAGACCAGAGGCACAGCTGATCATACACACACACCTCTCATACATTCCTTGACACTTCCCACATGCTCACACAGAGAGACGTGTTCATACACCCACAAAACCACCCACACTCAGTCAATATTCATATGCTCAAGACTCACATACTGAATGCAGACACATTCTCACACACACACACACACACACACACACACACACATGCTCACACACACACTGTTCACTATTGAACAATCACAGCTCAAACACTGTGCACTTGGCAGATCAGCTCACTGTCTGAACAACACAGCTTCTCCCAGTAAACAAGGATCAAGTAAATACCCATTGTCAGCAGTAGTTAGCTCTTATTCATAGGTGCCACCTGTTGGCCTGGAGGTTGAATTACACAATTGCTAATCTGCTGACACAGGTACACACAATTGAGGATTAATGATTAAGTATCCTAAGACCCCTGCCACCTCAATCCCACAGGAGTCAGTGAGCCAGCTCACACCTCCTCTGTGCTGCTGCTATAACCAACAGTCAGGAAAGCCTACATATACAAGCTATTTGTATCAAAGATACTCATACAGGTTACTTACCATAGTTTATTCAGATGAGAAAGAACCAGAGAAACAACTCTGAAAGTATGAAAAACAGAGCATTACCTCACTATTGGGGCATATTGACTCTTCAACAATGGGTCCTTAATAAAATGGAATCCCTGAAATGTCAGACAGTAAATTAAAAATATCAATTATAAGGAAGCTCGGCCAGGCTCTGTGGCCCAGCCTGTAATCCTGGCACTTTGGGAGGCCAAGACAAGTGGCTTCCCTGAGCTCACAGGTTTGAGACCAGCCTGGGCAACTTGGCAAGGCCTCATTTCTATAATAAACCCCAAATTAGCTGGGTGTGGTAGTGCATGCCTGTAGTTCTAGCTGCTTGGAAGGCTGAGACACAATGCCCAGCAGGTCAATGATGGGGTGGCCATTGAATGTGCCACTGAACTGCAGCCTGGACCACAGAGTGAGACTCCAACTCAAAAAAAAAAAAAAGAAGAAGCTCAATGAGATCCAAGACAAAGCTGATGACCAAAACAAAGAAATTAGTAGAGTAATTCAGGATATGAAAGAAGAGATTGACAACATTTAAATAAACCAAACAGAACTAAAAAACTCATTCAAGGAAATACAAAACACAATTCAAAGCTTTAACAGTAGGCTAGGTCAAGTGGAAGAAAGAATCTCAGAGCTGGAAGACAAATCCTTCAAATTAATACAGACAGAAATAAAGAGAAAATAATTAACAAGAATGAACAAAGACTTAGAGAAATCTGGGATCACATAAAGTGATCAAGTATATGAATCATAGGCCTTCCCAAGGGAGAAGAAGGTAAAGTAAAACATATGAAAATCATATTTGAGAAAATAATTCAAGATAACATCCCTGGACTTGTGAGAGATATAGACATCCAGGTACACACAAGAGGAACCTCAACAAGGCATATTGTTGACAAATTCTCCAAACTCAACATAAAAGAAGAAAATATCCTAAGGACAGCAAGAGAGAAGTGCCTAATCACTCATAAAGCAAAAGACATTAGACTAACAGCAGACTTCTCAGCAGAAACCCTACAAGCCAGAAGAGAATGGAAGCTATTTTCAATCTTCTACTTTTTTTTTTTAAAGTCAATCCAAAACTTTATATCCAGCTAAACTAAGTTTCAATAATGAAGGAAAAATAAAGTTCTTCCCTGACAAACACTAAGAGATTTCATCACCACTAAACTGGCTCTACAAGAGAGGCCCAATGGAGTTCTAAACATGAAAACAAAATGATGATACTATCATAAAAGATCACATGAGTACAAACCTCATATCT